TGTGGCCTATTGATCATCTACAACATTCGCTCTAATCATAGCAATCTCCATTTTTTTGTGATAATCCTCCATGCTCAACCTTGGTAGAGGCTTTGCAATTAGGCCTCCTTATCATCCTCCACATTCGTTCGAATCATAGTAATCTCCATCTCCTTATGATAATCCTCCACCCTCCGAGAACCTTGGTAGAGGCTTTGCAATTTTTGATGAAGCTCCCGATAATAATGATTAGGCATGAAGCTCATCCTGATGATAGCCTTCAATTCTTTCCATATATTAATAAGCCTCTCACGGTTCTTCCTCTAAGATGTTACTATTTGATCTTACCAAATGATAGCATAATCTGTAAATTTAAGTACCTCAATCTTTACCTTCTTTTCCTTCAAGTAGTTGTGGCAATCAAATTTAACTCTACTTTCTTTTCTCACTCCAAGTATGCCTCTGAATTACTCATTCCTTTGAATGAAGGTATTGTCATCTTGATATTGCCCATACTTCTATCCATATCATCTCCAACAAGATATCTACCCCTCATTTCATGCCTAACTTCTCTATCCCTCATTCTTCATAACTAAACATCTACCAATGCATCCTTATTAATATCACTATCCGCCTTTCATTCACCAACATAATCCACTCTATGATCCCGACTTCTTTGCGTTACGAATTTCTCTGGGTTATTCCTTACGTAAATTGGCAAGCATCGTGTCCTGTCTATCCAATCTGTCTCTCACATCCTCAAACAACCTTTCAAACCTCCATCACCTCATTCAACATGTTGATTTGGTTATTATTCCTACTTGAAGTGGAACCGTCTCTATCTGACATCCTAAATCTAATTTAATATTTGCCTCATGTGTGTACGCTCGTATATCACTTAAATTGGGTTTTTCCTTCTATTAGTCTCACCACTCTGTCTTTTCCACTCAATACTTTCTTTCAAGTGTTTCAAAGAACTAATTCGAGCTCAATCAAAATTAATTCTTGTAGAGTTTCAAACAAAGACTGAGTAAGAAATAATTGACGCTAGAATAACTCAAGAAGTAGGAATTATAAATTGGACTGCTAGCAATTTTTCGAATTTTTTTTTTTTGCTCGAAATTTCAACTGGATACCAGCAAATGATACAAAAAGTGATTTGGATACTAGATTAGTACACAAACAAGTTTTGAAATTTTTTTTCGGTATTTTATGGATTGGAGACTCGAAAAAATGAAGAACACGAAGAATAGAAAACAAAAGACTCAAACAAAAAGGAAAATAACTAGGATATAATCTTGATTTTTGGAGCCTCCTCTAATACAAACTGATGCGAATCCACATAGCAATGATAACTACTAAGCCCACACAAGATTGATTCAACTCAAGAAAGTCAAGAAATTAATGTTTTAAACTTGATTCAAAAAATGGTGAATCAAGGAACCAACACAATCGCTGACAATATGTTGACCCCGTGATTACAAGACTCAATTAGCTCGATAAAGAATAAGAAGAAAGTAATATGCCTCTCGATTAATTTCTTAATAAATTGTGTGTTTACAATGAATATAATGAGTCCTATTTATAAGGAACCATAAAACCTAACTAAAAATGGAATTAAGCCAAAAAGATAGCAAAAGATATTACAAAATAGAGTTTTAACTAAAATAGAAGATTGCGCGAAATTTGAAAAATATCGTGTCCGAAAATACACTATGCGGCTGCATAGTGTAAATCTATGCGGTTGCATAGATCAATTGCGCTTCTCCTTGGTGGCCTCGGTAAAGGAGCATGCGAACGCATGCCTTTAACAACTATGCAGTTGCATAATTGTTACGTCCAGCTTCCTCGTCCGCTGCTTGAACCAAGTTGATCCATCTTGTTTCTTCTTCCAAGCTCGATATGAAATTTGGTCATTTACTTGTAGTGTTCGATATTTCGTCCACAGTAGCTTGAACAAGTATTCCCATATCTTTCTTGACTCACTTCGCTCTCGACCTGGCCATCGATCCACCCTCAACGATCAATAGATCATTGCCCGGACTTACTATCATATCATGGATCACATCAGAGGCATATTGTCGTCTTCTCATTTTTCATTGAATTAATTTTGAATTTATCAAGAATTAAATTCTTATGGCGTTCTACAATATAAGTAAGGTTCATAATTTTTGTGACCACAAGGTCAAGATATTATTAGCGATTATCTTAGTTCTTTGGTTTAATAATTTATTGGATCGAGTTTATCAACGTTGATTCTTGGCTTTCTTGGGTTTGTTCTAATTTGTCGTGGGTTCCGTAACTACTATTGCTATGTAGGTTCGCATCACTTGGTATCAGGGCAAGGCTCCAAAAATTAAGGTTATATCCTTTTTTTGAGTCTTTTGTTTTTCATTCTTAGCGTTATTCATTTTTTTTGTCTTCAGTCCATAACAGACCAAAAAAATTCCAAAACTTATTTGCGTGTTAATCTAGCATCTAAATTAGTTTCTGTTTCTTTTTCTGGTATCTAGTTGAATTTTCGAGCAAAACAAATAAGAGAAAATTCTGAAAATTGCCAGCAACATACAATTTAATTGTTTGAGTCAAAAAATATATAATTCCAAATTCAAAAGTGTTCAATTCGAATTCAAGAAATATTTTCTTGAATTTAAGTTCAAATTTCTACCTTCTTGAATCATTCTAAATCACTTTCCTTATTCAATTCTTTGTTTGGACTCCACAATGGTTAAATTTTGATTGAGATCGAATTAATTCTTTGAAGCACTTGGAAGAAAGCATTGAGTGGAAAAAGGCAAGAGTGATGAGACTAATAGAGGGAAAATGCCAATTCGAGTGATACACGAGTGCATACATGTGAGACAAATATTAAATTAGAATTAAGATATCCGATATAGGCGAATCTACTTCAACCAAGAATAATAGTCAAGTCAACATGTCGGATGAGGTGATACGCCGGTTCGAATGGTTGTTTGAGGGTGTGAGAGATAGATTGGATCGGCAAGACACGTTGGTTGCTAACTTATGTAGGGAACAACCCAGAGATATTCCTAACGCAAGGATGTAATGAAGGCAGGATCATTGAGCTAATTTTCGTTGTATATTATCTTTCTCTCTTTGATGCAGGTACAGATTCGAGATCGAACCCTTTCAAAGAGCGAGGAGATGATATAATCCATAATACAAGGACAAGTCTGGGCAAGGATCGATTGATCGTTGAGGAAGGACCTATGACTAGGTTACGACCGAAGCAGGTCGGAGTTTTAATGGGATTACTTGCTCAAGCTACGATGAACGAAACATTGATCACGGCAAATAAAGGGACAAGTTTCATGTTGGGCATTGGAGATAAAACGAGGTGGAGCAACTTGATTCAAGCAATGGACGGAGGAGACGAAAGGAACAACTATGCAACTGCATAGTTGTTCAGGGCATGTGGTCGCATGCCCCTTTACCGAAATTCCATTGGAGGGTTTCAGTTGATCTATGCGACCGCATAGACGGCCGCGAATTTACCAAATTTGGCATAATCTTTTATTCTAGTTCAAACTCTTGTATGATATATTTTTTATATCTTTTAAGACTTAATTCCTTTTTTAAGTAGGTTTTATGGGTTCTTTATAAATATGACTCATCCTATTCATTGCAAATATACAATTTGAGAGATAATATTGCGAGATATATTGATGTCTTCTTGTTCTTCATTGAATTAATTTTGAACTTATCAAAAATTAATTTTTTGTGGCGTTTTACAATATAAGTAAGGTTCATAAATTTTGTGATCACAAGGTCAAGATATTGTTAGCGATTGTCTTGGTTTTTTGGTTCAATAATTTATTGGATCGAGCTTATCAACGTTGATTCTTGGATTTCTTGGATTTGTTCTAATTTATCGTGGGTTTCGTAGCTACTATTGCTACGTGAGTTCACATCATTAAGCTTCCATAACATAATATATACACATAAATATCTACTACACCCAATAATCTACCTAAATAATAAAGAACAAATATTATACATAACAATTTAAAACACAATAAATGAAAAATCAATCTCATAATCCCAAAAAAAAAAAAATTGTTGAAGATAATGGTCGGTGTGTGGTGGTAGGCGTTGGGTCGACTGTGATGATACTTCTTCGATTGGATATCGACTGTTGATTGTGTGAGTAATTTGAAATTTCTTTTTCCTCTCCTCTCAAACAATTGATAGAAGATGAGAGTATTTTTGGATTCTGATATTTAACTTTAACATTTTATACTTTGTCACTGTTTTTTTTTTAGTGGTCAACGGCTAATATGGAAATATGACCGGGTCAACCGGCTATTTCCTTGCATTTCCTCTCTGTTTATAATCCAATATTTCCATTCTGTTATTACGATATTATCTCCAAAAATGGAGATTAAATGAAAGTTTTGATATGCAATATAACTAATACGTTGAGTATAATATATCTCTAATTTACAAATAAGTATTTAATATATAGTTTATTCTTTTTTTGCAATATAAATATGATTTTAGGATGAAGTAAATGAAATAATAAAATTGGAATATGGAGAGAATTTAATAATATTTATACCATCAAACTAATAAAAGCACGAGGCCAACTCTTTTTAGTCGAAAGAAAGGAAAAGTCCTAATTTCAGGACGCAGCCGCACGACGTTAGAGTATATACCTTGAGATCCAGAACAAATGCATCGTAATTAAAGTTCAAGCAGTGGCCAATCAAATAAGAATACCTAAACAAAATATCACGTAATATTATCTTTCATTGATACAGAATTTATTACAACTCCATATCTTACAATGAACACCAAATGTCTTCTTTCACACAGAATTTATTGCAATTCATACAGAACTTATAGTTTGATAGAGACTTAGTGCTTGCCCTGACAAGTTTATTGACATATTAAAAAAATTTATTCATCAAACATGCACTCCTTTGATCATCAAGAGATCAGTAGTTTTCAGAAGCTGATATTGTACATACGAAAATGTTGTTCTTACGTACAGGCAGAGGTTACTGAAGCTTGTCCAACATTTGGCTACAATCAACACCATCGTTTGAAAATGCTTCCACCAGCTTAGGAAAGAGCTTCCCGAGCATGATCTTGAACCCCGTAGAGCTTCCTCTTTGATATTCATGTTTGGTTTTACTGTCTCCGAATGGATAACCTATTGGAGCTCCTTCCATATATGCTTTACAAGCCAATAGAATATTTTTACATCGTCCCTTGAAGTGCACCTTCACAATTTCCTCGAAATGCTGCACCATTTGATTCAAAATGAAAGGACGTTTCAAAAATTTGTCCAACAGCATGCAGAACATAATGTAACACTATTCTGATGTAAACAAAAAGCTATACTTAACATCTATAAACATATTTTATTATGTATTTGTCAAGAAAATTGAGATATATCAGAATTATAGTATGCAATGTCTCCAATGGACTTAATACATTTTAAGGAAATGTAGTTGTAGATTGAATCGTTTCATATATTAAGAAATTAAATTGTGATTATGGTACGAGCTCCAAGCCATACCATTGCCAGAATTAAGTATATACTCGAACTAATTTACCTTTGGCGGTTTCCGTAGAAGGTACATCATGGATCTACAGCTGTCAAGAAAAGCATTTTCATTATAGCTAATTGAGTTCTTCTCACCCTCAGCTTTGCCAATCTGTGAATCATATCCAGCCTCATTAAAATAAGGCTTTTCATTGAGTACAAGGGCCTGGAGAGAGAGTAGAACTTGAAGAATCGTGGAGGATCCCGGATTCCAAACTTCAGTGCCTGAACCCGTCCATGTATTGAGGATACTGAGACAGACCTTTCCCGACTCGTATAAGTTGGGATTGATGCGATGTCCACCAGAATTATAGTGCACCATCTGCACATATTTCATGTTAACTAATGTTGTCATCACCTAAATCACAAAATTCAGATGCAACCAATTTTTCTGAAATTGCTTCTTTTTAACACCAGAAAATGTATGCATCACCAAGTAAAAAGACACTCATTCTGAAAATCATTGATGAAGTTAAAAAATAAGCAGTTACTTGCACAAAATGCCATCAATTACATATCCAACATCTAGAAAGGCCTACTTACAGGTGGCTCATCGGGATATTGTGGGGCTAGACAAATGTCAAAGAGAAAAAGTCCATCATGATATGGAGTTCCAGGTGCACCTACAATTGCCGCTCGAAGCAGATCCATTCTATCCTCATAGACACGAACATAGATTGTTTCTGTAAAATTATGAATTTTTATTATTTTTTATAGAAAAGAAAAAAAGAGAAATACAACTATAGAAGTCTGCCACTGTTGTGAATAAAATGATAACACAGTTGACTTGGGCATTTGTTACAAGTGCAGTTGCTGATAATTTCTGAGAATTTACCATCTATGAATCACCAAATTTAATATTTTTAAACCAATCTATCTATTGTTCAGAACCAAGAGTTCACACATAAATTTGAGCTCGTGTTTGGTTCTTCTATAGGTTTTTCTAGCAACACGATTCTAACCTAGGTTTATTTACTTTCAACTTCCACGCTAGTGTAGGGATAAGCCAATACATGTACAATTACACCAACCGCATGTACTTTTTGAAATGCATATTTGTACCATTACATAATGGTAAAGTGAAATAACATATTTTCTCACCTGGAAGATCTTTCTCCAAAATGCTCCATTCTTGGTGAACCTTCTTAAGCCAGCTTCTTTTCATCTGTACAAAAACCAAAATTCAACCAACCGCTGGACTAGCAAACTGCCTCACTGTTTTAAGAACATAGATTCTATATCTAACCTGAGGAGATTGCATGATTCCCATACCAGATCCACCAACAAAGTGGTGGTCTGAGCCACCGTTAACCATATCAAACTGCCTAAAATGTTCTGGAAGCTTGCTTCCAGATGGCAAGATGATGTCCTCGTTAGCTTCTTTGGCTCTTGGCTCTGAAGTCATTCTTCCATAAATTTCTGAATCATCATCTACCAGTGGCTCATCAACAGTGTTCATATTGCAAAGTTCAAGGGCTTCCTCCTCATTAGGTATCCCGAGTTTTTGACCATCTCCTGATGCGAGTTTGTATGCACAAACAACAGACGAACCCAAAGACCCCAATAGGCTCGAAGTGATACTAGTGAAAACCCCAATAGCGACTTGAGAAAGGGAATATGAACTAGAGTCCTTTAAATTGTTATAGTTCAAATCCAACACATCCTGGCAAATTCATTTAAATTTAGTACCTACAACCATTTAATAAAAACTTAACTAAGCATAATTACACCTATTACCAATAACCAATGTGGCCATGATTTGATGTTCCCTCTAAATTTTTAGATTGTTATTATGACAACTCAGGGTTGGGTTTTATCATTAGGAATTATTTCGTCATAAAAAAATTCAAACATGCACTAAACTTCAAAAGTCAAGTCATCACTCAGCTAGAATTTATTGATAAAGTGGGAAATTTATGGTAAGGCTAATACAACAGAGTCTGCACATACTATTGTTATGAACTATGTGCGTTACTGTATATGGTAGATGTATAAGTCTAAAATTATTTCCTTGTTAGATAGGATTATTTCCTTTTGAGAAATAATCTCTACATGTATATATATATATATATGTATATATATATACACACACATGTAGAGAATATTTCTCAAAAGGAAATAATATGCAACCCGTTGATAAAGGAATGTGATATTGAGGTTTTCCCAAATCAATCAACATAGTATCAGAGCCAGGTTCTCTAAATTAGGGTTTGAATTTCTTGAAAAAAAATTGTAGGATTGTCAAAGGTTTGGGTCGGTATTATTTGTGATAAATCGACACGTACCTGGGTCACTTAGTGGCGGGTGAAGATTGTGGTGGAAATTACTCTGCAACGAGTGTCCAGGCCGCTGTGTGATCCTAGCTTGGGTTCTTTCTGGTTCGAGCAATTTGGTCTGCTTCGGTGTAACCGTCGGCACCTCTTGCTGCCCGAATGTGTGGTGGTCAATGAGGAGAGTTCGTGTGAGAGGCTATTTGGCTCCATCGTGTTGGTTTTCTCCTTCAGTGGGTGATTCAATTGGAGCGACTAATTGAGTTTGGCTATTGATATGGGAGTTTGTCAATTTAGGCCTTATTCCAGTGGGTCAATTGGTTCGGGCTTTGATCCGTTTGGGCCTTAATTCCAGTGGGTCAGTTTTTAATTTTTATTTTTTTTCGTTGACCTATTTTGTTTGGACTTGGACTTCAATTATTATTAAATTGCCTTGGTGTTTATTTAGGTTGCTTTATTTTGTGTCTTTTCTGGTTCTTTGTTAATCATGGATGAAAGTGACAAGAAAATGGTGAATGAAATCACGATAACCCCATCCTCAAAAATCACAGATAGAAAGTTATCAGGCAGTAGGAATTATGCTCAATAGAAGAGAATTGTTTGCAGATATGTGTCGAGTGTGGATTTGGGTGATCACTTGACCGATGACACACCTCCACAATCTGATACTAATCTTGGGATTCAAAAGAAATGGCTAATAGAAGATGATAAACTCTTTAATCAGATTCAAAATACCCTTGACTCGACAGTCAACAATATCAATCATTGTGATACTGTAAAAGAATTGTGGGATTATCTAGAATTTTTATATGCAAGTAAACAAGATGTATCGCATGTTCATGAACTAATGTTAAAGATTATCGAGCCGAGCAAGGGGGCGAAATTTGTTTCAATATTATACTGAAATAAAACAGGTATTTGAGGAAAAGCGGGCCATGTTTCCATTACTAGTGATGTGAAGACAATGCGCGAACAAGATAAACAAATTGTGGTCTAGTGTTTTCTTGCAGGTTTGGGTCCTGAATATGATGTGGCTCGTACTCAGTTACTTACTAGTGAATGTACTACCTTCGTTGAGTGATATATATGCTGGTCTCCTTCGGGTATGCAAGGATAATAACAAGGAGTAAGGTGTCATACCAAATGAGACGGTAGATCTTGTTGGCTCCAATTCAAAGATCAATGGCATTTACAGAATTACAGGAGGAGGGGGAAGTAGTCGAGATAGAATCTCAAGTGGTAGTTCTCGTAGTTGTTATTATTGTGGAGAGCAAGGGCATGTAAAACGGAACTCTTGAAAATTAAATGGCAAACTAGCAAAGTACACCAGTCAAACTCTTATAAGGAAATTTGCCAATATTGCTACTTAGGACGGTCTTCTACCTACACCTACTATGCTTCAATATCAACATCAAATTACGATTTCAGCAGATGAATATGCTCGTTTTACACAATTTTATGCTTCTCAACAACCCATTCCTCAACTATCTGTTATACCTTCCACTTCCACTTTAGCCAACACAAGTAATTCTGCAGCATGTTGATTCTGGTACCACGGATTATATGACTGGAAATTCAGGTATACTTTCATCATTTCAATCTTCTTCTAATATACAATGTGTCACCTTAACTAATGGTTCTACAACTCCTGTTCTACAACACATCCAACAAACTCTACCATTATCTTTTGTCTTATGTTTACTTCAGTTTCTTTTTAATCTTTTATCTGTGAGTCAAATTACTAAATCCCTTAATTGTAGTGTCCATTTCTTTCCTAATCATTGCATTTTTCAGGATCTTGGGACGAGGCAGATTATTGGTAGAGGGTGTAAGTTCAATGACTTGTATGTGCTCGACTCTTCTCCCACACAAGTGCAAAGATCGATTGCATGCACGAGTACCTCTTCTCTTCTGCAGCTTCACTGTCGCTTCGGTCATCCTTCTTTCCCTATTTTGAAGAAATCATGTCCTGGTCTTAATCAAGTGTCTCAATTAGATTGTGAATAGTGTCAATTCGCAAAACACCATAGGGTACCATATCTATCTCGAATGAATAAAAGGGCTGCGTCCTCTTTTGATTTAATACATTCTGATATTTAGGGTCCTTGTCCTATTTTATCTAAGACATGTTTTCTCTATTTTGTTACTTTTGTGGATGATTATTCTCGAGTTACTTGGTTATATCTTATAAAAAATCGCTCATAACTATTTTCAATTTTTTGCATCTTTTATGCTGAAATTAAAACTCAATTTAATAAATCTGTACATATCTTAAGAAATGATAATGCCAAGGAATATTTCTCATCCACATTTACTTCATTTCTTTCTCAAAATGGCGTTCTTCATCAATCTTCATGCATTGTTACACCACAACAAAATGGAGTGACAGAAAGAAAGAATCGTCATTTATTGGAAGTTGCACGAGCTCTTTTTTTTCATATGGGAGTTTCAAAAGAATTTTGGGCAGATGCAATCTCTACTGCATGTTAATTAATCAATCATCTACCTTCTTCTGCCTTAGATGGTAAAATCCCTTATTCCATTCTATTTCCCTCTCAGACTTTATTCTCTCTTGCTCCTAGAGTATTTGGGTGTACTTGCTTTGTCCAGGATATGAGACCTCAAGCTTAACCCTAAGCTTGACCCTAGATCCCTTAAGTGTATATTTTTAGGTTATTCTCGGCTTCATAAAGGTTATCGATGTTTCTCTCCTTAGGATGATACATAGTGTCTGCTGATGTCACCTTCGAGTCCACACCCTTTTCCAGTACTTCTGTATCTTCTAATTCTTCTTTTGAGTCAAAGGATGATTTCCTCGTTTACACTGTAACTATACTTGTGTTATCCGTATCTTCTCGTCCTTCTATTCGAAATGTTTACGCTCGTCGTGTGCAGCAATCTCCGGCGACACCTACTACACGCCATGACTTATCGCCTCTACCTGCTGCTCCGCCTCAGGATTTATCACCCCCTTCTAATCCTAGTCTTGATCTTCCCATTGCCCTTCAAAAAGGTAAATGGTCTTGTACTTCTCCAGTCTCTTCTTTTGTTTCTTATCATGCATTGTAACAGTCTTCTAGGTCCTTCATTGCTTCCTTAGAGCGTGTGTCGATACCAAAATCTGTTACTGAGGCTTTGTCCCATAGTGGCTGGCAAGCGGCCATGCAGGAGGAAATGATGGCCCTGGAACATAATCATATTTGGGATTTGGTTCCTTTACCCCCCTCCTCCCCAACCCAATAAAATGGCAATCGCATGTAAATTGGTGTTTACTGTCAAGATGAACCCGGATGGATCTGTTGCTCGATTGAAGGCTCGTTTGGTTGCTAAAGGGTATGCTCAAACTTATGGTGTGGAATACTCTGAGACTCTCTCTAGTTGCTAAGATGGCTTATGTTCGGTTATTCAACTCTCTCGCTGCTACCTATCATTGGCCGCTTTACCAACTGGATGTTAAAAATGCATTCCTCCATGGTGATTTGCAAAAAGTTTACATGCAGCAATCTCCAGGGTTTGTTGCTCAGAGGAAGTCAATGAAGGTATGCAAACTACAAAAGTCGTTGTATGGTCTAAAACAATCACCAAGTGCCTGGTTTGGGAGATTTAGTGAGGTTGTGATTGAATTTGGCTTGCAAAGAAGTGCATATGATCACTCAATATTCTTTAAACAGTCTACAATTGGGTGCATTTTGTTAGTGGTATATGTTGATGATATTGTGATTACTGGTAGTGATAACAGTGGCATAAGTATGCTAAAGGCTTTCCTAGGCACAAGGTTTCAGACAATGGAGTTAGGTCCTTTGAAATATTTCTTAGGGATAGAGGTCTCTCGAAGTGGTAAAGGAATCTTTCTGTCTCAAAGGAAATATGTTCTAAATCTACTAGATGAGACATGTTTAACTGGAGCAAAACCTGGTGATGCCCCAATGATACCAAATGTGAAACTTGAGGCTGAAGATGGAGACATGTTTGTTGATGCAGATAAATACAGGAGAGTGGTGGGAAAATTGAACCATCTCACAATTACTCGTCCAGACATTGTCTTTCCAGTAAGTGTTAGTCAATTTATGTCATCTCCTAGAACTTCACATTGGGATGCTCTAACTCATATATTAAAATATCTCAAAGGAGCTCCAAGTGTGGGATTCTTTATAGAGACCATGGTCATTGTAGAGTTGAGGGTTTCTCAGATGCTGACTGGGCAGGTTCTCCTGTAGAAAGGCGCTCTACTACAAGGTATTGTGTTTTCGTTTGAGGTAATTTAGTCTCTTGGAAGAGTACGAAACAAAGTGTTGTAACTTGATCAAGTGCAGAATCTGAATATCGAGCTATGACACAGGTAACTTGTGAACTTATGTGGCTACATCACTTACTTGGGGAGATTGGCATCGATAAGTCCCACTCCATGAACTTGTGGTGTGATAATCAAGCAGCTATTCACATTGCCACTAATCCGATATTTCATGAAAGAACAAAGCACATAGAGGTAGACTGTCATTTTGTTCGTGAAAAATTACAGCAAGGGTTGATTTCGACTAAGCATGTCAGGACAGGGGATCAATTAGCTGATGTTTTCACTAAAGCCTTAGTAGGGAATTGAGTAAACTATATTTGTAACAAGCTAGGCATGATTGATATCTATGCTCCAGTTTGAGGGGAAGTGTTATGAACTACGTGCGTTAATGTATATGGTAGGTGTATAAGTCTAGAATTATCTCCTTGTTAGATAAGATTATATATATGTAAACCGTTGATGAAGGAATGTGATATTGAGGTTTTCCCAAATCAATCAACACAAAGACTCAACAGTTCTTTTAGTGGAGAGTAAGAAGTTTTGACTCCTGCCACTTTCTGTTACCTGTTCTAATTTTTTTTTTTTTTTTTGAACTCTTCACCAACTTGCTACGAGTTATTGTCTCACTTCAGAGATTATTCAATTCTAAACAGTATGAGAGAGAGAGAGAGAGAGAGAGAGAGAGAGAGAGAATTATGTCACCTTTCCTTTCTGGCCCACAAGTTGGTTCTCGTGTACTGCAATGTCCCCATTTGATTGCTGAACATTTTCATCATTTAGCATAGAAGTGGTAGCTGTGCCGTCGCATTTATTAACCCGATATATCTCATATGGTGCGACCTATGATGTTTTTGAGTAATATACGAGAGTATTTAAAACAGTTAGTATACATGTATTTTTGAAATAAATGAGAACAATGAAGTAGAAGATTGAAAGGAAAAATCATTTTCCACAAAGGTGTGAAAAACATCAGAGGACCAATTCTATATTCTTCATAAATAGGCAAGTAATGAAATCAACCGAACCCAACCCCCATCCACCCACACACATACAACATTCGAAATGAAAACCAAATATAAAAATTCAGTCTGTAAATCAACAACCAATAAATCTTTTAACTAATTGCAATACTTCATTTCCAGTTCAACTAAAAGAGGATAAATTTCAAGAAAAACATAAGATAGGTGCAGACCTTGCTAGTGGCACCAGTAGCCCATTTCACTTCAATAGCCCCACCTTGGAAGCCAACTACTAAACCAATATGAGATAAAAAGTTGCTCTTCAAGTAATTATTCTGATCTTCACCATTATCATTAGCCTTAAGATGAGACTCTTCGCACGCACATATTTTAGAGATTGTGTGGTTATTGAAACAGTTTTCATCTGCTAAATCCAAAAGTACACTCTTTTGCATTCTAAATACTGCATCACCCAGGCAGTATGAGTAGTCCGGGTGCTCAACCAATTCGTATGAACTCACAATCTCCTCTATTTCTTTGTCCCCAAAAGCAGAGGAATTACACCATTTTACCTTCACAGTTCGTTCTTCTGAGTCCACACTTCTCACAACACCCCATCTTTGAACACATGAAACGTTTGAATCGTCACATGTTCCCTTTTCTATAACAAATGCATCAGTCCAAAAATCATGAATATCAACAATATTCACTGGTAACAGAGAATGTGAATCTAATCCCACTGATTGGCTGCCATCCCGCCACTGGACATCAACTTTAGTCCTTGTCCGAACAATAACAGAAATTTCCTGAAAATTAGGGCTGGGGTTGTTTCTCGGAAGTATATTTTTTGATATCTCATGTCCTTCGACCAGCCCAGAGGAAAATGCATGTGGAAAAATCTGCTCCACTGGAAGAACACACCAATCACCAAGCTGCCAGTTTGCATGGGGAAAACAGGACAACAAGGTTAAATTTTTTGAATCCTGTAAACATGGGGGAGCAGACCATTCCTCACCATCGACGGCAGCACAGCCGAGCCAGTCAACATATACAAGTCCAGCGTCCACATTGCAGACAATGCCTTGTTTTTTTTTATTCTTTCGTGTACCACATAACCAAACGACTGATTTGGAAACAGAAGAGGGCTCAACTTGAACTTTCTGTCCTGGGTAGAAAGGGTATTGCGAATCTTCAAGTGCATCAGGAGAAATGGCAGTGATTTTTTCTGGACCAATTGTGGTTAATTCACTCTTTGTACCGTCATCAAATAGGACCGTGATACTATCAACTATCTTTTCCACTTTCCCAAGCCATGCCCCTCTAACTACATAATCTCCAACTGAAATGGAATGTATTTTCTGAAGATTCAAGGAACTTACATTGTGTATTTTTCTTCCATGGATATTTTCCAAGTCCACTGTTAATCCGACGTTGATCACCTTTCCCATTTGGCCCAATGGGTCTGATGCTAAGCAAACTATGTCCCCATGCATGAATGACCTCTCAAATGAGAGGAAATCATCAATATTTCCAATGGTTTCCTCAAGACTAGAGAAAATAGAACAGGCATGTCCACCATATAGAGACTCAATATCATCGTGATCCTCAGAACTGCTGCTCTCGCTGAGACTGTCGAAGTCACTGTCTAGCAAATCCATAATACTGATACCACATAGTACTCGTTCAGTTATAATTTTACTTTTGCAAATTCAAAACAAATGACATTATTACTAATAAATGAAAATAGGAGACAAAGATTGTTGAAATAGAAATAGGATGCCATCTAAATAATGTTCTCAGTTGTACCATACTCAAAAATGCATATCCTCTGTGATGTTCCTCTCTTAAAGACCTAATTATCACCCTAAGAAGTTAGCAGTGAAATGAAATTCATCTGTAGATTGAAGCTTGAATGCAGATAACATATACTAGAACATGAATTATAATAATTGTAGATGAAGTACGGGAGGCGAAGATTGTTTAAATAGAAATAGGATGCCATCAAAATACTGTTCACACTTGTGTGCCTTGCTAAAGAATATGTTCCCTCTGCAATGTTTACCTCTAAAAGACCTAATTATCACCTTATAATTTAGCAAGTTAAATAAAAGTCACTTGTAGGTTGAAGCTTGAGAGTAGACAACATATACTAGAACATGAATAAGGTAATTGTAGCAGTATTGTTGGCTATTTCATTTGCTAACATGAGAACTAGTGTTCAGTTGAAATAACCCAAATCAACACCAATCATCAAATCAAATTGCTTCACATTAACAAGCACGAGCTGAGTATGATTGTTTCCTGATGAAGCTAACTAAACGCAAAAAGAAGCATAATAAAATAATAAGGACAATAGTAGAGAGACGTGTACCACTTGGGTTACGCTTTACTCGTGGCTGACTAATTTGGATTGTAGGCCTCTGTCAACGGCACAATAACTAGCAAATTGCAACTGGAATCAGTAGTCTTGCCAAAAAAAAATCAGAGGATAAACAGTGCAGTGTGTCTCTGTTTATTTTCCAAATTTTTTCGTACTGTTATTATCTCCACAAATGGAGATTAAATGCCAAAGGAGATTTGCCCACTAAAGGGATAAACGGAGTCTTGAATGAGACTCCAAAATGCCAAAGGAGATTTGCCCAAAAATGGACCAAAAATTACCACCAGAAGGTATGGTCGAGCCAAAAAAAATTCATGAAATGTAGAGGGTCCTGGTAGAAATTCCAAGTTGGATATCACCAACTGGAGCTAAGCCCTCAAAGTCTGGATTCCTGAGTAGTCTTATAAGATGAGAGCTTAAAATTGTCGAACCCTCCTAAGCTAGCACGGCCAACAGGAGGAACTTCAAATTTGCCAAAGGAGATTTGCCCTGAAACGATATTACACGCACATATATTCCTAAAGACTTGAAGCAAATTTTTCTTTCTTTCAGAAATCAAATATGTTTTGCCAAAGGAGATGTGCCCGAGTATAACTGAATTTAAGCTCAGCTCCACCCAATGCCAAAGGAGAGAGATTTGCCGCAGAGAAAGAACTTCAACTAAGAACAAGTATAGCCAAGCCACCGGAAACAACACTGAATCTGATTATTATGTCCCGCAGCCAGAATTCAATGAAGCTTTGTTATCGATCACCACTCTTCTTATGTCAGACAATTGTTATTGCCAGTTTTAAATATCCGTGGAACCTGCATGCACACTGGTCATTGAAAAGAGAGTGAATATAAAGCAAGGGACAACAGAGAGTGTGAAACAAAGGCATATATTTGGATAACAGTGCATGAAAAGAAAGAAAAAGAAAGTTCCCAAAATTTATACAATTTTGTATTATCATTAGTCAGTGGAAGCAATCATCATATCAGGTCTTAACTAGTAAATAATCAAGTATTTGTCAGTTGGTTTCTTCAAGATTTCATACAGTATATTCTGAAAAAAGGTATAAAATTGTGGATCAAATCAAGTGAAAAAGAAAACACGAAATGGAAATCTTTCCAATAATAACAGGAAAACCAATATTATTTTCTAGTATTATTACAATTTCTTGTAAATGAAATCTATAAACAGCATACAAAGAACTTACTAAAAAGTTCTTACAGAAGATACCCTGAGGAACTTCTTTGTAATATTTTCTTGTAGAAAATTTTTGATAACTAAAAAAATAAAGAGGAATCATGTGCAACTGTAAACTGAGAATATTTGATAGCATGAACTTCAACCCTACTTCATTTTCATTCCTTGCATTAATGAAGATCATTTTGATTAGATTGTGACTGTTGAGGCAAATAAATTTCAGAAACTGACTTCATTTTTCACTCATTTCCCCTTGATAGTCCATTGCTGCATATAACAAACATGCACTGCAGGTTCAAACTGTAATAACTATCTAGCTACTGGGTTTAAAATAAGTAGAAACAATAGAAAAGAGGATCTTGCGTACTGGATCTTTCAAGAATACAGAATTAAGATTTTTGACACGCGACAATATGTACCACACAAAGGATTCAGCAAAGGATTCAGATCTAACAAAAGACTTGCCTAAATGAAAATACACTTATAAAAACTGCTATAAGTGTAGTGACGTTATAGTTAACAAAACACACATACTTTCAAGTGCAAAGAGCACTCAATGTTTAGTTCAAGTAGGTAATGCAACAGGGGAGCATATCAAAACCTTGATGTGATAATATCAATCATGTAGCCCATGCATGAAAATTTTTGGATGATCTAAAAAGAAGAGTTCTCTTTAAACTCTAGCATTTTCTTCATGAGCATCTCTATTTCATTCTCCTTGTTTTCGCCTGATCTCTTACTGGTCAAGTGATCAGCCCATCAAGGCCTTTACTAGAAGTGAAAGAAAACTCCGATTCCGGCTCTATCATCTAAATGATCGTGCTGAAGGGCATTTGGAGAGTGGATACTAAATTAAAAATTTTGTCCTTTCTTTTTAGCTTCTTTTAAAACACAACCACCACCTTTAATAAATTAGGTATTTCCTCGAAAGATAGAAACAGATGTTATGTATGTATTTGGGGAAGATTCAAATTCAACACAATCAAATCGTTTACTTACCTAGACCTCCTGCTAAAGAAAGCAGAAAATCCTTTGCCGTGGCTCTTTTTACTTTTTGCTAGATCTTTTCTATAGGTTTGAAGTTATTAATTTTACAGCAAATAAAACCCTAAAGATGATGTTGGAGACAGAGAATTGGATGCTGTAATTGGAATGGGAAGGAAAAAAAAATATTTTCCTATTAGCATATTCTTAGAATCCGAATAATAAGACTCCAATTCTATGCCCCCCTAAATCCTGATGCAGCCAAAAATTAAACTCAATTCAAAATTCACATGCAAATATAACCTCCATAAACTGCAACTGGAGACAACAAGCGCACATATATAAAATTAACATATGCAAACATGAATTATCTTAGTATATATCATAACTAAGAGTAAAAAGGAACAAGGACAAGTTAACAAACAAAAACCCAGAAAACTGAAAAATCTTGTGATGAAATAAAAAGAACAAGAATAAAGAACCGTACCAGTTGATAACCTCCATCTCCATAAGCTGCTGATGCTGATCAACTGAATCGAGCTCGGGGAACAAATAAATAAAAAAAAAACACCGCACTCACTTTTTCCTCCAAGTTTCCAGCAATTTCTTGGGGGTGTATCCTTGGGGAGGGAAGAAATACTGAAATTGATGATCACTGGAAGCAAGGAAAGGAAAGATTATGGAAACTCAGAGAGGCCAACACGATGCTCTCCAAATCCCACCCTTCCATCTATTTTCAAAGTTCTCAAACATCGCAAACGGGTTCTCTCTCCTTTTCTTTTGTTTGATGCAAAAAAAATAAACCTCAGACGCCCAGCTTTCTTCTTTCTATTTTGTTACTGTGAACTTCATTTTCAGTGTGTCGTGATCTGTTGGGAGGTTAAGCCAATGGGATATAAACGGGTCTATAATCTGTTTCCACAGGGATATACCATAGAATCTCTCCTGTGTTTTTCTTTCTTTCCGAGAAATTGACACACCATTTTGAAAAATGGCTAAAAACTGAAATGTTTTCATTCATGGCCATGTGTTTAAAAAAATATAGACTTCTCCGTTTGATCCCCTTCTTTTATTTATTTTTTTATTTTTTTCCTACTACCATATTTCTCATTATAATGAAGAAAAAATGGGAATCAAACACAAGTTTAAAGCACCTATAAAATTTCTAAATTCCCGGTTAGATCCTAAAATTTCTACTTCAACCAATCAAAATGTAAAATTTTCGAAAGGACAAAGAGAATTTCTACCTGGATATTGTACACAATATGTGGTTTGACGTGTAAAATAACAAGTTTTCGTTGGTCAAATATCGAATTCCATTGGCATCTATTGAGTTAGTTGGTCAAATCTCGAGTTTTCTATGCAAAATTCGAGTATGTTTGGCAAATCTTGAGTGTACTTTGTATTAAACTTCAAGCACGCAGACCTTTTGATTCATAACCTGGAATTGCACTCCATTTTTTGCGTTCAGCTCCAAATTTAATATCTTTTCTATGATATATTATTTAAGCAGTGGACATAAATATAACAAAAATTGTACATTAATTCTCTTTCATGCTCCGTATGCAGGTTTCTCATTTTGCCTCTCTTGATCATTTTATCCCCGAACTTCATTCTTTTTGCATCAATCATTTTTAACTTCGTAGTGTA